TATTAGATTACCCATCCTCTTGTATAGTGAGTAAGTGAGTAGCTAGGGTGCGGAATACCAAGTATATCTCCTTTTTTTTATTTTTTTGATACAATGATATATTTTGCACTAAAGGAAGAGGGGGTAGTTCAGGTAAGTAACAAAAGTGTCCTTTATAGTGAGTGAGTGAGTAGCTAGGGTGCGGAATACCCAGTATATCTCCTCTTTTTTTTTTTTTTTTTTTTTTTTAGTACAATGATATATTTTGCACTAAAGGAAGATGCGGTAGTTCAGGTAAGTAACGAAAGTGTCCATTATCCTGCTATACTTGTACAATGATATATTCTCCTTTCCTCCCTCTAATTAATTAGGTTGCACGCTTAGTACTTCACTCACAGCATGTGTCACAGGGCGAAGGAGTCCCAAGTTACAAGAATAATAAGATTTGTATAGGGTAATATCTTTGACAAATAATATAATGGTTAGTGTTCTTTACAGTCTCCCATATTTGTATCCCTGCACTCATCTTAAGCAAAATTATTAGGTGACTGATGACATCGTGTTTGTGTTGTACACTACACAATTAGCATTAGGAAAATTATGAATTGTTGATACTTGTTTATTTTTTCCTTCGCAGACATACTTTCTTTTGATACCTCGATAGCATGTTATTTAGGTATGAGATAATGTGGGACTAGCTTATATTTTTTATTTTTTATCTAATAGTAAATGCATAATTTGACATGAATCAAAATGATACATTTATCTTGCATCAACTGCATATCTATTAAGGGGTCGTTTGTTTGACCTCCTTAGCTAGGATTGGACTAGCTAAGACTAATAACCCACGTTTGGCATGGCTATGGACTAAGTTAAATGGGACTAGCCTTAACTCGCATGGACTACCAGCCTCATTAAGTTGTCCTAATTAGTCCGGCCCAATAGCATGGGATTGCTAAGAACCTCAATATGCTACTTCCCTCGCCGTCTCCTTCGAGTGAATTGGTGGGAGTGAACCGTTCTTTGTCAAAGCTATTTATCTACCGGTGAGCTTCCAGAACAAATCTCCTCTCTCTCTCTCTCTCAGATCGATATGGGAATTGGGGGATGAACTTGGTAATTAGAGCTGCTTATGAACTCGGTTAATTTGCCTTACAAATTGATAATTATTTCTCTTGAATTGAAGAAGAACCATCTGGCTGTTCCGTTTTTCCATGCTGATGTTATGCCCATTGGATGTAGTCAAGAAATTTCGATAAAAATTTTCAAAGCTCATGTTGAAGCTCTGCCATGGTAGCTGGACAACTGTGTCCTATTTCTGATGGGTGAATGGGTCGGTGCACGGGAGGGCTGAAAAAGCATTGCCCAGATGAATATTGAAGACGATGGAACAAATTGTCAAATTCCGATTTCGTCAAGAGGATAAAACGGTGGTGTTCTACTGGATTTGATCTTTTATTATTTATTTTTTAATTAGTTTTAAGTTTTTCTTTTGTAAAGCAAGTGTGGATTAAAAATGAAAAAGAAAAAAAAAACGATTTGAGTCCTAAAATATTTTAGTCCGGCACTGTACCAAACACTTCACTATTCTTATTCTGCTTAGTCCAAGACAAGCCAGTCCAGCTTAATTTCTACAACTAATCCAGTTTAAAATAGTCTGGTACAACAAACGCACCCTAAGGGCTTATAGGGTATGGGACTCTCTGGAAGCTGGTAAAAATGATTCGGAAGGTCCTATGGGAATATGCGTAGGTTTGTATAGGTGATAGTTGTCTTTTTCGAAATGACCTGGACAGATTTCGACGAGCCTTTACATTATGGCTTGGCAGATGTTTACATGTGTTGAAATCATGATTTGTCAGATTTGGACAGACTCTCCAAGTGATTAACAATATGCTTCACTGACAAAACTCAACAAAAATTAACTAATGATAGAATTTCTAAATCAACCACTGCCTTGCATGCACACCACTCCAAACAAGTAAACATGCCATTTTCAGCATGTCTTCATGACAACGCTAGAGCACACATGCATCATTGACGAAAATAAATTCGTGCATGTCATGTGTGCTCTTTCATTGTAGTGATAGAAATCTTGACATCACAAGGTATTACAATGCTGAAACATTGGGGCCGCAGCACCGATTTGCTTTTTGGCCCAACCTTTAACAGCTTTTTTTAGTAAGAAGCCCTCGTCAAGTCTATGAATTCCCATATGAATGGGCTAGAGTTCGTACTTCCAGCCCAAGTAGTATCCAAGCCCATGTAGCTGAAAAATGCAAACGCTGTTTCCCAAGAAGCAGTTGGACATTTTGCTATTTTGGGCGTGGCCGAAAAACTACTGCTCTGCTGCCAACCTCCCCTTTCCCTAATTGAAAAAACATCATCTATTACTTCTCATACACCAACTTCTCCTCTTTGTCCACCTAAACCCCTCCTTTTACCCAAATTCCTCCAAACTCTTCACCTCGTTAGTCACAACTCATAAACATAGCCACCTTCAATATTTACCTTCCCCATAACTCTTGCATAAGTACAATCGTTCTACACAACGTCCCTCTCACATAAGTACCCCTACCACGTGATGAGTTTTTTTTTTTTTTTTTTTTTTACACAAAACGAATTCTCTTGTTCTACAATGAATTACCCATCAACCCCAAAGTATAAGGTAGACATCAAAAGAAAAGATAAAAAAATGACAAACTCTGATCACACAAACCATCCCATAACTCGTCCAAGAGTTAAATCAAGACTCGTGACGATACATTCAGTTGCAAATAGTATGGGGGTGATAACTGCGCATGCCATGGAAAATGTGGAAGATGAGAGTGGTTTTGAGTTTGTACATTACAACATAACGTGGACAAGTGACACATTTCTGGAGCGAACATGGAGGGAGAGACGAAGGGTTGTTTTTGCTTACACATACATGGGCTCTCTCATCGAGAGACAAAGATGGTTCGACTATAGTCACTACTTGCACATACCGAGTGGGACAAATGAACACCTCTCTTACTAGACTTATATTGCCACATTGAAATTTTATGTTTAAGCCAAAATAACTTGATTGGTCAATAGTTTAGATATATTCACATCATGAGATGGTCTAAAAAGATAACATGCATATTAAATTTATTAACGATTAGTTTATAGGAAATTAAAGTGACGATGATGGGACCAGGTTCGAGCGTACAAGCGTATGGGACCAGGTTCGAGCTCATCGGGTCGGGCCAAGTATGCACGAATGTTATCTGATGAAGGAGCAAAGCCCTTTCTCAGCCTGACTTTTATCAAAGGAATAAAGTGGGTTCTCCCTTATATATAGTACACTACTCATATAAATATACATATGTGTATCAATGTAGTAAATAAAAGGAGGAATGCTAGGTAGAAGGCCAAGGGCAACTAGCTAGCTAGCCATCATCAATCTGCTCTCATATAAGTGTTGTGTCGTATGTATGTAGTTTACCCGATGTTGTATGCTTGTAGGAACGCAGATTATGTAATGAAAATTGGGGTTTCTATACACCACATAGTATTTGAGTTTTCTTCTGCAAGGTATATACCACGATTCTCATTGTAACTAAACAACTATATACCACGATTCTCTCCATAATTAATGTTTTGTTTTCCTCCTCTATTATAAGCAATTGCAGTAACTTCCAACCATGCGAGTGGTTCTTCAGTTATTTAAGAATTAATGTCATCATCCCCTTTAACGGCAAAGAAACTTACATTTAATGTTTATCATGAGATGCTACGTGGTAGTCAAAACACATAATGACACGTGATAAGTTTGAGATATCACCATATTAGCTTCCCGAATATAAGTCAGTTTCTCCCTATCAAGTCGAGAGTTCCAGTGATTGGTTGAGGTGATGAAATATTTTGGTACCTTAATTTAGAAGCTTAGGTGCACATATTTACGTGGAACAACAATTAACCCAGTGTCAAATGGGTTTCCAAACTAATTTCAAACTTGGCTACATTTTTCCTTTCCGTAATCGTTGAGTAGTGATCTAAGTTAGCCGACATGTACAGCCCAGAATGCACCATAGAATACTAAAATTCGCTGGAAGAAGCCTTTTAATTTGAAAAACTGGCTTTGTATAGTACACAAAATCATAGAAAATCATGGCAGATCACGTATAATATATGATATTCCTCGTATTGTCTCAGTGCATGCAGACAGTGTATGTGATGTATAGAGGACTGTGGATTGATTCATGTATACCACAAGAAAAACATGATTGTGGATGGCCTTGCTATTAGAGCTATAGATGAATTTTTGGGTACCAATATTTTGAGAATCAATCTGAGTAGACTGGGACTCGGTTATTTGGTGAAATGATACGAGTCTCTAAGACACGCTTGTTTGTAATTAACAACTCTTTGAGCTAGTTTAATGTCCAAATAAAGTCTGCAATTTTACTCGGTCCTTCACATGATAACTGCCATCAACTTCTATATAATATTAACTATGAACTTAATTAGCAACGGCCATTGGAAAAATAATTATGTATTAAAAGATTGTGATCCCGGAAACCATGTGCAAAGAGGGAGAGAGAGAGGTTGTACATGGATATTGTCTTCAAGCTTAAGCATGTGCCATTATTTGTCAATGAACAAAAAACAGATGCATTATATATTTGGAAATATATAGACAGTTGAGGATCTTATTTTTTTAACCATCTCTACATAGTCAGGTGATATAAATTATACGGAAAGTGATTTCCTCATGCTATTTTTCTCACTACACAGATCCATGTGTATTTCTGGCATTTGAATTGAATAAAACAAATAAGAATTGAGAGAGATATACAAGGATGTGCAAAATCATTTCGTCAAATTTGATATAATGGTAGCACTTGAAAATAAGCTTGCTAGAATTTGTTACCGGGAACCATTTTAATTAGGAAATTAATTCATATTTGACATATATTGTGATGGAGGACAAATGTGTTTCGTACTTGAGGAGCAAACATCAGAAGATGTAGGTAACTATCAATCAGAGAAAAAAATAGAGAGGTTAAAAAATATTTAACTAAAGTTTCTGTAATTGTTGTTAATTCAAAAAAAAAAAGAAAAGAAAAAGAGAAAAGCAAAAAGATGTCTGAATACAAGGAGACCCTGCTTTACACCAGAAAATCACACCCCTAAAAACCTGGACCACTGATAAGAAACTTCATCACTGTCACTTACTCTTCATTGAATGACTTTCCAGTCTCCGGCTGCAAAACCACCAACAATACCAAATTAACAACATCAATAAAACTAGCAACCTATTTCGTGAAGAAAGACATAAATACTTAATATGCAACGTAGATCCATCAAATTGAAAACGGATCAAGGGCTTTTGGAATACGCTCGTGCACTTGAGATGTCACTGTGTCGGTATCCCAGGATAATCACACACATTCATACAAGAAATTAAGCTAAAAATGCATGGGAGTGTGCGATTGACTTGAGATACTGCCGGTTAGAGAACTTTAGAATTCATTTTGGGTATCAAACAGGATGACTTGATCTATAAGGCACTGTAAGGTGAAGGTAGTTAAAGTATGTGGTTTTTTACCTGGGCTGTCATCGGGGTGAGCTTTCTGATGGTTCTCCATGCACTTCAAGAGGTACTTGAAGGTCTCAGTCTCACATGGGATTGTGAGCCCGCCGCTATGATCAAACCCAAATTCCTCCTCAGCCTTCTCCAGCAGTACTTTAAAAAGGGAGTGACTGAGGTAGCTAGTGGGAACGATGAACCTCCGAAGCTCCGGTCCAACATAAACCGCCAAATATCCTTTGGGGATATCATGTGGCGGTTCGGGACTGTAGCACATATCCTCATCCGAGTCACAAATAACATTTGTTAGCCTCTGGCTAATTGCCGGTGAAATACCCCCATGGCCTCGTTCAGAGGGAGTGGTGCTCTCCCCTCCTCTTTTTTCAGAATGGGGATCCCCTCCTCTTCTTTCAGAATGGGGACTATTGTTGGCTCGGGGGCTGTTTGCCCTCGAGCCAAGCGTGACGGCTTGCCACTTCTGCAGGATTTCTTTGAACTTGACGATCTGCCTGATTCCAGTCAACTTGGTGCCACCATTTTCATTCATTGCTACAGGTTTTACCACAATTGTTGAAAGAATCCCAACACAGATATCAGATTGTCCGATTCCACACAAGGTCTCATCAGATCTTCCACTATGAAAGGATTAATTCAAATCAACATCATCATTATAATTCAAATCATCATTATCATTATCTCTTTTATGCCAAATCTACCAAGTATACAACCAAGTTCCGAACCTTTTTTTGTTCTTAATATAAACGATATTTTACTTTAAACTAATCTAAAGTGTAGGAAGAAAGATTTGAACTTGGGTGCATAGCGGAGGAGCACATCAGCTTTGGCCAATGTGCCTACGCCCACATCTGCAACCAAGTTTCAAACTTTAACCAGTCCTACATTAATTTCTAGGATTATACATTCACGTAAGATGAAATAGCAACATGGGTAATATACTTCTTCAATATTTTCTGTATTCCGTAAAGTGAAATGTTTTATCTTTCCTTGTGAAAATTCAATAAAACATCTAAATTTCATCCCAATTTTTAAGTTTTGGTTCAAATTCTTCATTTTTGGCTAACAAAGAGGCCAGATTTGAAATTGAAAAACCCAAATTGCTCCACCAAAAAAATTGCATGCATGATGATTCAGATTCCAGAAATCCCATAAATCCAACATTACAAAAGAAAAAAACAAAAGAACGCATATTGCCAAAAACATAGCATCAAAATGCAACAAAGTAAAAAAAAAAAAAAATAATAAATATGGAAATTCCAATTTCAACCCACGAATCCAAATAATGAATATCAAATAAACATGCAGTTACCTGAGGAGGGGGAGAACATCAGCTGCAAACCTGAAGAAGAAACGCCATGGGAGCTTCGGAAGGAAATAACGGAGCGAGCTCTAGGTCTCCAAAGAGAGAGATTGTATTCAGAAAATTCTAAATATTGCTAATAATAATAATAATTAATAATAAATCCCAGAGAGAAAAAGGAGATGAATGTTTTGGGAGTTTTACTACTTTTGTGAGCCCATCAATTTTCGGAAGCAAATTTTCCTTTCTCACTCGCTCTGCCTACGCTTTCGGAGGGCTCTGTTTTTTCGGTTTTCCTAGGAACCAACCAAACCTAACGGCTTCTCTTCTTCTATATCAAAATAAATTATATAATTTTGTTTTCTCGTGAGACCAAAAAAAAAGGTAAAAAACAGAAAAGTGTGTTTATGTTTGATGAACTGGAAAATTATGAGGACTTGGAAGAGGAGATGTTATGAAAAACAGAGGAGCATATTTATAGCTGATGAGCTCTCAACTTTGAACGACCTTTCGTGGGCATAATGGCATCGCCTTTTGCTTTTCGTTTTTGAGTTGTGGCTTTTCCTCGTGCTTTGAGGAATCTCCATGGTACAATCCCATGCCAAGTCTTTTTTTATGAGATGCAAAGTCATTAGTTTTTTATTTGGTTTTTTCTTTTTTTCTTTTTAGAGAATACGTCACAAAACACAAATACAAACACATAAGATCGTTTTTTAGGAAATACATATTGTTTAACGGAATCATTAAATCGTAACAAAACACAAACACATAACATCGTTTTTTTCTAATTTTGTTTCTCACTCCTAAAATGTTGATTTGCATTCGTCGATTTCTTTTGATCTTTCAGCCATATGCTCTTCTTCGTATCAACTACACAAAAGGGAAGTTTTGAAAGTTGAATTAAAAATAAAAGAATAAAGAAACAATAACGAAAGTATGTTGAAACATTTCGCTAGTGTTAATATCACCTCTTTATAACAATCGAGAACATAACAACAACATAAATTATTTGAAGTCAAATGATTGTAACACTACTAATAGGGCCAAGGATCAGCTATTCCCAAATAGTGTCTCCTTCTGTGTCTCGTAGCTAATTTTACTAGTTATGAGACATGAAGGGGGAGTAATGACACTCCTTATGTGTCTCGTAGCTTAAATATTATAAGCTAGTACGTACCCTTAGTTTGTAGCATTCGACGACTTTAGGCAACTTTGCACCCACACATTACATTAGATGATGACACTCACAAAGTCAAATAAAAAATGTTTGAAAAAAAAAAAATTAGTGACAACATGTAGCAGCTTGGTGCATGAATATTTTTTTAGGAAAACTAATGAAAAGAGCTTGAAAAATTTGAGTTCTAATAATAAAGATAAAATAAAGGGTAAAGTGAATAGTATCAGGATTGACTTTTTAGTGTAAAAATATGGTTTTTTGTTAAAGTGAACAGTACCAGAAACTTTTTGTTAAAATCTCCCCCCCCCAACCCTTTTTTTATTTTTTTGCCAAAAATCCCTTTCGTTAATTTATCAGACCAGAAACCCTTTCTCGACGTGATTAGCACCCCCACACTATAATTCATCTCTAAAAGTTAGCATTTAAAAATAACAAATGTAGGTCTTAATCTTTGTTGCATGCATGTTCATGCACTCATTGACATCGTTGCGTTCTTTCATCTCGCACATGTGGAGGAATTGTTTTTGAGCTGACCAAAAAGATAAATTCATTTTTAAGGATATATAACCAGCCACATTTGTTGATAAGGATGGAGAGGATAAACATTTATATAATTATATTTAAGCTTCCAAATCGGAGTATGTATGCTAAAAGCTACTTTATGAAACTTAAAAAGCGATGCATTCTCACTTCAAAGCAATTTTTTTTCTATTGTATAACAATGTATAACATACATTACTAAATTAACGGTGATTATCGTTCTAAATCATGTGAGGGAAAGATGAATAATGTTATGTTGAATGGTTAAAAAATGTAACGCATACAATACATTGTTGTTTATATAGTAGAATTTTTCTCAAATCATAAGATAGATGACTTACTACCGCGCTAATATACAGTTCTTTAAGAATAGCGATGTTGAGACTCCTCTTTTAGCCGTTTACACTATAAGCTGAGTATATTACAAATTGTTTTTTATTTGCTTTCATTGGAGGAGCATAGAAGCCAAACCAGTGTAAGAAAAATCACAGAATCTGGTGAGGAGCTCAGCAGCCTCAGCCAACTATTGTAAAGTATGATATTTGGACTTGGGCCACTAATTGCCTCCGGGATTACAAAGATTTTCTTATCTTTTGGGCCAGATAATTGAGATCAACATAGATTTGAGCAAAGTCAGTAATATAGAGTTGAGCTTCTTGAGCCCGATATGACCTAACTAAAACTCGTGAAGATCATCATTTCACCTAATTAAGTTCCGGAATACAGTCAAACAATATTCTGTTGAGAAACTATTGGTTTTTTTTTTTTTTTTTTTTTTTTTTTTTTTTTTTTGGGTCTATAGAGAAACTGTTGGTTTTCATTGGCAATTTGTGGTTATTATTGATGAATCCCTGCTCACTCATAATCTTGGTGTAACCTTACTCCCCTTCAAAACAATTCTAACAAGAAAAACCATGTATAGTTCAAAGAACGCAGTGAGAAAAAATTTATTCAAAGAATGCATCCTCCTTAGACACATGTGTTAGAGATTTCAATGATAAATATATATAAATTATTTTATATATATATATATATATTATTTTGTATACACACACACATATATATATATATAATGACGGTGCTGCATTGTGCAGCGTGTGCGTGTATGATAAAGGGTGCTGCAGTGCGCATCAAATGTAATTAGTTCAATGGTTACAACTTTGCGCAAATGTAATTAGTTGAATGGTTACAACTTTTAGTTAAAAGACATGAGGCTTCTCAAATTGTGTGAGTAGAATTAAAAGATATAAATAATCAAAATTTATTTTCTGAAAATTTTAAATAGAAGACATGTCTTTTAAGTCAACACTATTAAGAAGGGTGTATATCTTTAACTAAAATGAAGGGACTCGATGAGCGAGTGCTTTAATGCCTATAAATACCTATTGTGGCATAATGTTTCCCACACAATTTTCAAAAAATTGTTTCTACATTCCTTGCTTTCTTTTCTCTCCATCACATTCATACAATTTCTTTCTAGTTATTTCTAAGGGAATACAATTCGGTTTTGCTAATCGAATATTCCATACTTTGTTGTATCCTGGAGTGACTTGCCAAGAACCTTTTAGCAAACTCATTCGAGTGGGGGCAAATAACCTTTTAAGGAAATGATTCAAGTTGTACCTCAAAGTCATCATTCGGATTATTCTCTATATTTCTACATTTTACTCAACAACATGACACGATACTAAATCGAGGTAGGGTTGCATTAGGGTTAAGTAAGCAAAAATGGACTGTTTACTTATCTTTTAAGCTTCTTAGGTTCATGTTGGTGCACAAGTTGATCCCTGAACAAAAAAAAAAAAAAAAAAAAAAAAAACATGGACCCGCCATTGTTCTTGCTGATTACTTTATTACTATTATTTTGTTGCTTAGGTTTTTGGCAATTTTGAATTTTTGAGATTTAAACATGCAAATAAAATGAATGGAATGAGAAGGGACACGAAGTTCACGAGTAGCTATGAGTTCAATTGCTTGATTTTGAAGGATTAAATTACTTGGTGGACTGAGCGACTAAACTCAACATATAGATTTTGTGTCAGTGTCATTCCACAGACTTGCTTCGAAACTTAGATTTTTGCCACACCCAGCATGTATCACCATAAAAAAATGTCCACATTAAGACATGCAATTTGTATCTAGTTGATTAGTAGGTTCCACCTAATTGATCAAAATGCTGCTTAAGAAATCTTAATTTCTCTAATTTATTTAATGTTGTTGTTGCCTAGTACAATATTTTCAGTACGAGGGAGAGGGAGTACAAGATCGATGAGCTAGGACATACATATACATATGAAAATGTTTCTTTGTTTGCTATAGGATTTCAAGTACGTACGAACTCTAATGTGATTTTTAACCAAGAAAAGTTTCATAGACAGAGATAACTTCATGCAATTGACGGTTTAATTAAAAATTTGTGGAACAATTTAGTTAAAAATAAAGGGTAGTGCTATCCACACACTCTTTTTTACCTCCTTCACATCTTTTTCAATTTTCGGCTCGCGAATCGAATGAATTGAAGAAGATTAAAAGACAAATATTAACAAGGGGTGTGTGGAAGGTAAAAATGGGTATATGGATAACACAATCCAAGAACAAATGGTTTTGAAAGTACAGAACCTTCCCTTTTTTACAATGTTCTCGTTCTAACAAGAGCCCTTCGATATTGAAATATTGTCATGTGGTGTTATCAGCTTACTCATATTATAATAAGTATATTTATTTGTTAACACTATATCTTAAATACATGAAATTTTCACAACATTTCTGTACGTATTGTGGAAAAATAAAATAACCACATCCAATAGGAGAAGAACATGTGGACTATATGCTCTATGAGACGGTTTTACCCTTGCCGTCGTGAGTGGACCGCAAAATTACCCTAAGAGAAAAAGACGTAGAATGCCTTAAAATAATTGGACTTTTATGCTAACGGACTATGAGCTCTCCAGGCCGCCTACAACATAGCATGCCATTGACCTCTGGAGTCTCCGCAGTCCAATGGTGGTAGGACACCAACTTTCCAGAGTTTCTCTTTGGGTCTCCGACACAACTGCGCTCTTACCAACATGGACTTTTAGAACTGGTAGCTAGTAGGACTGCGGAGATTGACTTGCATAATCAAAGACTACCTAGTATGCTCAGCAACCTTCCCAGCCAGCTGCCTGTTAGGGTTTTCTCTATAAATAGCCAAGTCAGAAAACCGTAATCGCCACTTATTGCCGAGAACACTCTCAAGTTTTATTTTTTATCTCTACTACTTTTCTACTTATAGGTAGTGGAGGCCCTTTGACGGACACCCTCTGTCTTTTTCAGGATGTTTGTCAATTAGGCTAATGGTTTGTTCTCTTGTAAGTAAAATTTTGTCAAATCAGTTGTGTACGAAATTTGCATCCACACATATGATACATGTTCATTAGTAACATCAGACATAGCATTGTGACCGTCGGACTCAAAATTTTCTCAAAACAGTAACAGTAAAGTATTAACTTTACTCTAAAGATAAATAACTCTGTAATTAAACTTGATAAAGGCAATGGGTTGGTTGAGTTACTTCCCTCATATGTCTTGGCATCTCTGGTGCTTGTAATTAAACTTGTCAAATTACTCTAAAGATAAAAACCTCTGTAATTAAACTTGTAAAAGTCAATGCGTTGGTTGAGTTACTTCACTCATCTGGCATTTCAGATGAGATAGCATGCAGAACTTTTGAAAGTAATTTGCATTTGAATCATATTATAACAAATCAGCTGACCCAGAGACTCAAAGAGTGACAAGTAAATTAAGTTCGACCTAAGCAATAATTTGTCATCATCCGTACCTAACTTATCTGAACAGCATCGAAATGACATAATTAACTTCATTCGTTTTTTTCTTCTTTGTGTACAGTATATACATATAATTTACCAATTCTTTACGGTCCAAATTCCAGCACTATTGCCCGTATCTATACATATTTTTAACATCAATTATAACCAATAATAGTTTGACAAGTAGTAAGTTGCCGCCAAACGTTAATTATTTTCTTAGTTTGCAAAAGCTACAGTAGTCAAATAAACGCTGAGGCTACTTACTGAGTCATGTTCTCTTAGTTACTTGTTATTAACAATACGTGGTCACGTAAAATCGAATTTGAGATCAAGCATTGAATTTAAGCCTTTAATGATTAAAAAAATAAACGATTTTTATTATGAGATTTGTGCAATATAACATTAAACATGATATTAACAAATAGAACAATGCTTGGTTATAAACAAATTTTGGTTCTCTATCAAATAAAAAAAAAGTAGTATACGTAGTAATAAATGGAAGGGTGTTATACGTGTGACTTTAATTAGGGCAACGCCAAATCTCCAATCTCTATCTTGATGTGAAGTGTATTACGAGCAGCCTCATGGGCGACAGGAGTGGAAGACACGAACCTTCTAATAAGAAGACTGTAAAAAATATGCCCTCTAATTCATACACAATTAATACCAACTGAAAGCATAAATTTGGAGCACCAGCATCTTCGTGTTGTGTTAATGGTGTTCTGCCACACACATATATAGGCTAACTTGGCTAAATAATCTAATTCACATATACAATCTAGAACATTCTTTGGAGACAATATCTCTCAATTTAATGGGTTTAAAAACTGATTTTTAGAGTTGACTAGTTGAGGTACCTGAATTGTATTAGAAGTAATTTTATAAACCTGTCCGAAATCTATGAGGGAACATGTTTCAAATTGAAGCCATGCTCTAATTAGCTATGTCAAACAGCCACAAGATTTAACTTTCAACGTTTGCAAAAGAGTCATTGTAGAATTTTTTAGCTCGGACAATGAAAGAGTATTGTTAAAGCATCTTCCTAAATGGGTGGTTTTGCAACAAATTCAACGAGGGTACGTATATATGACAACTTAATTATAACAACAAATACCAACTTCTTGTATAAAAAAATTAATCGAGATTAGCACTTGTATATATATGCACATAATATATGTGTGTATAAATTGGTCTGCATATATGCGTACTATTCGAAACCATGTAATTAAGTTAACAATAATTGCAAATTGAAGATAAGTCTTCTAAAAAAGGGTCATATGTATATTTTTTATATAATTAAATTGTATAAAAAATTAATCAAGATTAGCTCTTATACATATATACATATAATATAAGTGCCACTTAGTACTATGGTATAGTGGTATTTCTCTCCAAAACTGAAAAATGAGACTTAATCCCAATTCTACTCATTAATCAAGGGATCCTATTAATCCAATTTAAATAATTTAACTAAATAGCTAATGTACTTGTCAAACACCTATTAAACTTGTTTAGAATCTTAAGCAGTCAAAGACAATGACAACACGTAAATAAAAAGAGGTATGCATGCATGTTTGATTCCAGCAGGTAATTAAGCTATGCTGGGTAAGCTCTATGTGGTTACGTTTGTATAAAAAATCGAGTCTGAGACTGACTGCTCAACAATAGTGATGACCACTTACAATATGTCCAATTGTTATGTATAAAATAAGAGAAGCCATTGATGGCCAATTGTTATGCATAAAAATAGTGAAAGAACCACCGGCCGGATATGCCCTGTGCATAACTATTCATCAATAATACATAAATAAAGAGAATATAAAACTGTCTGAAAATTATATAGAACAATATTTCCTTTTGAATAGGTGATTATGTAGACCAAATCCTTGCCCTAGTTTGTGGCCATAAAGCATCACTAACCCTACACATGCCATGAAGCATCACTAACCCTACACATACACACACACACACACATACATATATATAGTATTCTCATATTTTATTTTATAGTCAATTATTAGGATAATACGCATTTTAACCATTTATGTATACATGTTCATATTATGAGCATTGCTTGGAGTAACCGTATAACACATTTTTTTGGATCACGTGATGTTACAAAATGATGCATACAATTAGTACACATCACTCAACTTACTACATATGTTCTTCCTAGCATTAATCCGAAATTAGTTCTTCATGGTTCTCATTTCAATCACATAGCTAGTTGATGGTCGTAATGATACCATAAGGGCAAAATATATTACTCATACAAAATAACTCGATTGGTTTACGTAAAATACATGAAGAATTGAGTTTAATAAGTTTACTATATATGCAAGCATGAGTATGATACAATGTATATGTAACAAAAGAATATAAAATACAAGTCTAAATTTACGACAACAACATTAGAGTTAAAATGTGAAACTCAAGAGTGTAGTTGGTGGAAAAAGATAAATTTTAGGGTTTTTGTCTTGGAGAAATATAAATATTTATCTATACAACATGTGCGTATGTACAATAATCATGTACAATTAGCCTAAACATTCCAATTAACGTAATCATTGTTTCTTCTTAAATTGTAGATGGTAAGCTCCTCCTATAAAATCATTACAAAATCATCAAATCTCAATAACACACTTTATATGTACGCAAAAAAATTGACGAGAAAAATATAGTACTGGGAAGTAATATATAGTACGTACCTTCTCCGTTCCCTTCAAAGATCGTATAATTGTTATAAGTAAGTGGAAATCTATTGTTGTTGTGGGACAAATTTGCTTCTTGAGCAAAAACTCAACTATTCTTTAGAGAGAGAAAGAGAGTTAGAGAGAGAGGTAGCACGACTTGCGTTGAAATCGTGGGGGACGATTTGGTTGAGAGGTGCATGTCTTGTTTCTCTCTGTCTCTGTCTCTCTCTCTTGAACTAGAAAAATCCTCAGCATTTCAAACACAAAACCTCAAGAATTATAATAATTAAACAATGATGCCAACCGCGTCGTTTAGCTCGAAGCGGTCGACTAACAGCCACGGGTTTGAGTTACCGGGAAACTCCTCGCCGTCGTCGGTCGGCGGTGCAATGCTGCCGAAGTTTCTCAACGACCTCAACCAGGACTTGGTCGAAGTCACATTGGAGCTCGACGATGACGACGACGGCTCAATTGTCGTGTGCAGCGTCGCTCCCGCAAACGATGACTTGACGTCGTCGGAGGCCGCGGCGGCGAACGGGATTCTACGGAGGAGTCTTTCGGCGACGTCGAGGAGTATTCGGCGGACGTTCGGGTGGTTGAAATCGGCGTCTTCGAGGACGACGGCGTCGAACTCGGAGTCCGTGGCGGAGTTCACTCTGTCGGCTCGCGAGGCGAGGAGGATGAAGGCCAAGCTTCAACGGACGAGATCGAGCGCGCAGAGAGCTCTCAATGGGTTGAGATTCATCAGCAAGACGAATGCCGGAGGAAGTGACGCGGCGGAGCAGTGGCTGCAAGTGGAGGCGAGGTTCGAGTCGCTCGCCAAGGACGGCTTGCTCGCCAGTGCAGACTTCGGTGAATGTATAGGTATATTAGGAGTTTAATTAATTGATCTTAACTAAGTTTAATAAGTTAACATTGATTGACACTAATTTAATTTGTCTGTTTGGTTCCCGGGAAAATTGCGAGGGAAAAAGATTAATGATATTTTGTATAAATGAAGGGATGGGGGACTCGGAGGAGTTTGCGGTGGGGATATTTGATGCATTGGCGAGAAGGCGGCGGCAGAAGATAAGCAAAATTACGAAAGAGGAGCTTCGCGACTTTTGGTTGCAGATTTCCGACAACAGCTTCGACGCGCGCCTTCAAATCTTCTTTGACATGTGGGTTTCTCACTCTCATTTCTCTATTTTCTCAGCCGTTGATTAGGTTTCTCTGATTTTGCTTAGAACAATTCCACCGTCCAAACGGACAGAGTTCTAATTCTAAACTAGTGTCATACATCTTAAGGTGACTGAAACTTGAATACAAGGGGACATGCACCATGGCTAACTGACCTAACTTATGTTTGCTTTTTTCTTTTCTTTTGATATTTTTAACTTTTATATTAGCGTGTTAGTGAAGGGTGCTAAAGTCATGACATGCAGATGCTTGTCATTCCATGTATACATGAATTTCACATAATTTTATGGTAAAAAATTGTTAAGAGCTTACACGCAATTGATCGTAAAAAAATTCATTATAATTGTATCAGTCAAGATTAACTCAACAAATCAAGTGATTGATTCTCAAAAGGGGTTCAAAAGTCACCCCCTTTTAGAAAGTTATTAATCTAATCGTCTTGGAGTGTTTGATTGTATCGTGTTTTGGCATTTTGCGTTTTGCAGTTGTGCATTGTGTTGGTGTGAGTTTTGTGTTTAGTTGACCAAAAAGAGAGAACTTTACCCACAGAGGTTAAACTATGTTGTGTCTTTGTGTGTTCTATCTACTTCAACCTTTCCCATCTCAGTGCCTCTAAAATAAAAGTTAGGTAATTAAATGCTTTTTAAATGCGTGTAGCTTTTGCCTTCTGTTATTTGTGGAAATGTATTTTTTTGGTAAAAAAAAGAATAGAAAAATGGCTCATGGTTTTTGGTTGGATAGAAAAACAAGGAAGTTAGAGATCTGATCACTTTCTTTGGGTGTTTGTTTGGTCAAAAGTTGTTTTCTTATTAAATTTTCCGATTTAATTTTCAGGGCGGATAGCAATGACGATGGAAGAATCACAAGGGAAGGAGTTCGAGAGGTAAAAATTGTTCACTGCGGTAAAAGTAAAAAAAAAATCCCATCAGTTTCTTATGGAGTTTCGTTTTGTTTTGTTCAATTACAGCTTATAATGCTCAGTGCTTCTGCAAACAAGCTATCTAAGCTGAAAGAACAAGCTGAAGATTATGCTTCATTAATAATGGAAGAACTTGATCCCGAAAACTTCGGTTACATTGAGGTCAAATTAATACAACCTTTGAATAAAAGCCGTGACTGTCACACCGTCACGTGATGTTATTAATTCACTCATATTATAAACGTTGCAGTTTGACAATCACATTTAACAGTTCCTCGTCTTCATGGGATTCTAAATCAGACAATTAATAATCTTTTACCATTTACTCAGTTATGGCAATTGGAAGCATTGCTTCTACAAAGAGATGTGTACATAAACTACAGCAGACCATTGAGCACAGCAAGTGTATCTCGGAGTCAGAACCTCAGTTCCTTGAAGCCCAAGAATGTGGTCCGGAGACTGAGCCGTTCACTTCAGTGTCTCATACTCGAGAACTGGCAGCGCGGTTGGATTCTACTGCTGTGGGTTGTTGCAATGGCTTCCCTTTTTGGCTGGAAATTCTACCAATACAGAAAAAATAGGGCTGCATTTCAGGTCATGCACTATTGCTTGCCAGTGGCCAAAGGGGCTGCAGAGACTCTCAAGCTTAACATGGCTCTCGTACTCCTACCGGTCTGTCGAAACACGCTGACATGGCTTCGATCTACAAGAGCTAGGTGCTTCATCCCTTTTGATGACAACATTAATTTCCACAAGGTATAAGCACTAATCTTCAGTACCTCGGGGATACTAAATAGACAATAAGTCGTATTAAACTACAATTTAGTGCCATTTTTTTTTATCTATTTGTAGCCGGTTCTATGTGTTTTTTCTCCTGAGACACAACAATTTGACATTTTGTTTGCATTGATCTTATTTTACCACAGATAATTGCATTTGCTATAGCAATTGGAATAATCATTCACGCCGGGAACCATCTGGCATGCGACTTTCCTCGCATAGTAAACTCATCGCCAGAAAAATTTGCACCGCTATCCTCAGATTTCCACAACAAAAAGCCCTCCTATGAATTCCTACTCACCGGAACTGAAGGCACGACTGGAATTTTGATGGTGATTTTAATAGCCATCTCATTCACTCTAGCAGCACGTAGATTTCGGAGGAACATTGGTGAGGCTTCCTGCTCCGTTCAACAAGTTGACTGGGTTTAATGCGTTCTGGTATTCTCATCATCTGCTAGGTCTTGTCTACATATTGCTAATCATACATGGAAGCTGCTTGTATTTAGCCCACAAGTGGTACGAAAAAACGGTAAGAAACTTGAACAATAACACAGTAAAATTACAAAGCAAATTTCATTTACTTATTAATTGATTGCATCAAGTAATAAATGTTTTCCTACTTAGCAGACATGGATGTACATCTTTGTTCCATTGTTGCTCTATGTGGCAGAGCGCAGTCTGCGAACTTGTAGATCGAAGCATTATTCTGTTAAGATGTTCAAGGTAAGAAAAATTTACTCAAATCTGTTCATATTTTTTTTGTTGACTGTTCATATACTTTTGCGATCGTTGATTTCTGACTGTGTTAACAGGTTTCGGTCCTACCCGGAAACGTGATTAGCTTAATCATGTCCAAACCACCTGGATTTAAGTACAAAAGTGGGCAGTACATATTTCTACAATGCCCTACAATCTCCCCATTTGAATGGTGAGTCTGATTCTTATACAACTTCGTCTATCATGAAACGTAAATTAGAAAAGCAACCCGACAACTATAAATACTAAACCTCTCGATCCCTTATTATTTACAGGCATCCATTTTCCATTACCTCAGCGCCAGGAGATGAGTACCTCAGCGTTCACATCCGAACAGTAGGAGACTGGACTCGAGAATTGAAGCGAGCCATAGCGGAGGAAGATGATTCATCCCCTGCAGTACATTCGGCAAGATTTGTTCAGATTCGAAATCTGGATCGGAGAGGGTATGAACACACCTAATCAATATTTCACCTTCCGAGATTTAGGTTCAGTATATGCATGGGATTATTAACGTTACATGCAACATCAATGCAGCCAACCCAGATTGTTTATCGACGGTCCATATGGGGCGCCAGCGCAGGACTACCAGAGCTACGATGTCTTGCTCCTCGTGGGGCTTGGGATTGGAGCTACCCCTTTCATAAGCATTCTTCGAGATCTCCTCAACAGCACAAGAACAGCACAAGAACAAATGGTACAGTTCATAATATCCGACTCTTTGAGTACAAACTTTTCAGTGTTTCGATAGATTTTTCCGTTCTGACGATTAAGTTAAAATGCATTGATCATGAACTAGGATTCAAATACAGAAACTAGTAGATCAGACGACAGCCAAAATAGTTTTACGTCTTCAAGTTTGACGCCCGGTGACAAGAAGAAATCACAGAGGACTATGAATGCTCACTTCTATTGGGTTACCAGAGAGCTTGGCTCCTTTGAGTGGTTTAAAGGAGTCATGGATGAGGTTGCAGAAATGGATCACAAAGTAATGAATTAACTTCTGTACCACCTTACGTCATAATTTTCTTTGACCTTGATGATGTGCTACTGCTAAGTTACTAGTTTGTTAACCTTCTTTTTTGTTACAGGGTCAGATTGAACTACACAACTATCTTACGAGTGTCTACGAAGAAGGTGACGCTAGGTCGACCCTAATCACCATGGTCCAAGCTCTAAACCACGCCAAACATGGCGTCGACATCCTGTCTGGCACCCGAGTATGATCCTCATCGCCGTTTCAGTTGACACGTACGGTAGATTGTGTTCTTAAGAAGTGACTGACCTTTCAAACATTGAATTATGCATTGCAGGTAAGAACTCACTTCGCAAGACCGGATTGGAAAGAAGTGTTTACCAAGATAGCTTCCAAGCATCCGTATTCAACAGTAGGTAAAGATATTCTACCACAACCGAATTTTTATGTTAAAAACATAAACCCTAATCATGCATCTAGTAGAGCAACGAAACAAAGAACCGAGAGATTAAACGACTCAGCTCATTTGCAGGGGTATTCTACTGTGGGATGCCGATGTTGGCAAAGGAGCTGAAGGTGCTATCACATGAACTCAGTCACAAGACATCGACACGGTTTGAATTCCACAAGGAGTATTTCTAAAACTAGAAGACCACCATCGTCAAAGTACCAAGTAGCAATATTTTTCTAATCATACGGAGTATCCGTAGAGAAAGATAAATATAAATGTATAAGGATAGTAGCTTGGAAAGATGTAAATGTAACTGTTTTTCATACATATCCAATATAATACAAAGTTTCAGTAAAACATGGGAAGAAAGATGAATTGCAGATTTATGTCCTGGTCGTAGACAATGACGAAAATAAGAATCTACAATGACGAAACAAAATTCAAGCGAATATGCACCCAACGTATTGAAATTTCGATGGAAAAACAAGAAAATGACAAGAACCTAGCCTGGAGAGTATGAACAAGTATTCATGGCAGACAACACAAGCAAAAGAGATACCTTTCTGACTTGATATTCAGAATTCATCCGACTTATATCACATTGATCACGCAAGCGAGGCTAAATCAGCAGATGCAACAATTCCAAAGCACGGGAACAGAGGCACTGCGGATAGTTAGCTTGTAAAAATTATCATTAACATAATAAAAAACGAAGGGTAACAATATATGTTGATCAGGTACAGAATCGTCGGAAGCAGTGTTAGTATAATCGCGGAAAGCTAATCAAATTGCACCCTCTAGAGAAGACACCTATTGTTGGAGAATCATCTTCTTTGGAGAACAACACATTAAATGGATCAGTATAATGCGATCCAGTTGCAATCAATCATCTCTGATCTTCTTAAGAAGTTTGGAAGCCCAACTTCGGACGCGTCGCTTCAGCGAATAACCAACAACAATTCCAGCAACAAAGCAAAGTGTACAAAGCTTTGAGCATGTCCACAGTGAAACCACCTGCCTGCAAGTAGACATAAGAACAAACTCATGCCTGAGTAATGCATCAACCTCAACTCTTTAAAAAATACGCAAAAATAGATTACGGAAAATCATTGAAAGCTAAACCCCACAAAACCCAAGCCTCTAGAACCCTAAACCAAACGCTACCCAATTTACAGAGTACCATTAAAATATCTGAAAGTTTTAGAGGTACCTGGCGGGTCTGTTGAGCAAAATACGAGACTGATCGGAGGAAGACAGAGCGGCGGCGAGACCTTCAGTCCCACGGTGAGGGTCGAAGGAAGCCGAAGCGGAGCCCAATTTTGGGGGGTCTTTTGGGATTTTTCCAATCAATTTCTGCAGACCCTCCATAATTCGAATGCTTCGAGAGAAAACGCAGAGAACCCAACCCAGAACGCTTTATCCTGTTCACAATTCAGAAACCCAATTAGGAATTCCAATCTTAAGAGAAGTACTGAGAATTTAGGGGTTTAGGGTTCATTACCGTTTTCGATTCGTACCGAGCACGCTTTCTACTCTTCAAAGATCCCAAGTTTATTACAGTGGAGTTTTTCTCCCCCTAAATTTTCGTGAAATCACAAAGATTTATATTTGAGTTTATTTCTTTCCTCAAATGTCCCATAGTTAATGACAATTTTCTACTCTTCAAATGTCTCATATTTAAATTTTCTACTCTTCAAATGTCCCATAGTTAATGACAATTTAATGTCTGTTAGACATAAAAAAAAACTTGTCATAATTTATCATGCTAAATTCAGTAAATAAATACATATAATGTAGATGTAGTTCATCACTAAAATTTGATTTATAAACTTTGTGAGGTGACCATTTAGTAATGCGGTCTAGTGATTTTCATACTTCATTTATAAGTGAGACTTAAGTTCAAATCTAATGACTAACAAATTTGATACAAATTTATTCACTCACCCTTTAATGTAAAAACATTATTATCTAAAAAATAATAATTTATAAGGTGAACTTTGTACCAATAAAAAAAATACTCCCATAGAAATGGTAGTAAAATACTAAAAAACTTAGTAACACAAGGTTGGGGTCAGCAATCGTCCACAAAAGCCAGTCTATCCCCATCTTCTCCCCAACACCCAACACTCCCTCCCTTATCTTCCTCCACCAATTGTGAAAAAACCACCAGAGAAACAGAGAAACTAAGGAGGACACTTCATATTTCTCTCTGGTTCCAATCCAATCCAATGGCCTCCCTCTCTGTTCCCAAGCACCCAGCCTTCCCCTCTCTACTTCCCACCCAAACTCCCAAACACTACCCATCTTCTCAAACCCTCCCAATTGTCTCCAGCTCTTCACATTCCCAGTTCTATGGCCTCAAGTTCTCCACTTCTTCCACTCTGCCAATCCCTTCATCTTCCTCTGGCAAGATGTTCATTTCTGCTAAGGTACATTTTGCTTATACATGTTGTGTTTCGTATTAATGGGTGCATGGATAAACGCTCTTAATCATTTGAGCTATGAGTCCCTTACGACGGCTACATTTTTTTTTTTTATTGATTGGTTATGGTTGGTTGGTTTGTGGACAGGTGGACAAGGGTAAGGTTCCTCCAGCCTTCACATTGAAAGATCAGGATGGAAAGACAGTGAGCCTCTCCAAGTTCAAGGGAAAGCCTGTGGTTCTATATTTCTACCCTGCTGATGAGACCCCTGGCTGCACTAAACAGGTTCGAATTAACCACATTGTTTAGCATGTTCTAATTCCACTTAATTTGAAGTTTGTTTATGCTTAATATGCTTATCCTGGATTAGTTTTGGCCAATGACTTCTGCTATCTGTCCGGTAAATTTTCGATTGTTATGATATGAAATATGCATTGGAGCTGATAATGCCAGATAGATTGTGCCTTAGTTAGTGCAGACACTGACAATTTGATACTCCTCTAGGCTTGTGCTTTCAGAGATTCTTATGAGAAGTTTAAAAAGGCCGGTGCCCAGGTTGTCGGGATTAGTGGTGATGACCCCTCATCACACAAGGTAATGTGAAAGTTTTGTGTGTTTATATCATGTAGTGTCATCACATTAAGGCTTAGTATATGTTGCTTTCAAAAGAGTTTTTTTGGTAATTATGCACAATGATTCTTCAACAGATGTAAGGATAAATTTGTTGGTTTTTTGAATTAATTGAAAATGTAAGCTACTAATACGTGAGCCAACAGTTATAATTTGCGCGCGTTAGTTTTGTATGCATAAGCATTACAAATCAATGCTCGAAGTTGATTACAATTGAAAATGTTTGTAGGCTTTTGCAAAGAAGTACAAACTTCCATTCACATTACTAAGCGATGAGGGCAACAAGCTGAGGAAAGAATGGGGAGTGCCGTCGGATCTGTTTGGGACATTGCCCGGGAGGCAGACATATGTTCTGGACAAGAAGGGGGTGGTTCAACTCATCTACAACAATCAGTTCCAACCAGAGAAGCATATCGACGAAACTCTCAAACTACTTCAAGGCCTCTAAATTAATTCTCGTCTTTTTAGCTGCTTGTGTTTCCATCCCTATGTCCATTATATCTCCACAAAACAGGGTTAGCAAGTAGTTGTTTTTGTATAATCCAATCTAGTTATAACTAATGGCAACTATGCCCTATAAGGCAAACTACTGTGATATTTGTTAGCAATGAAGTGAGATGTTATTTGTAAGTCAACTGTGGAAAATTTGAATTGGTATTTTATATTTACTAACAAGATTACAAAAACTGAAGATCAAACACGGATGACAATAATCTGGTTTTAATTTGTATATAATAGTCCATTGAAAATTTTTAAATGTTACTATTGTTGTAGGCCTATTTGATTGAGTGATCTAGGGTTAGAGAGAGAGAGGGGTGCGGCAAGCTTTAGGGAGAAGAGAGATTGATTTAATTGTGAGATGTGTTTGATTCACCCCATTGTACCTTTATTTATAGTAGTAGAAAGGGTAAAACCTTTCCTTTATGATTACAACATTTAATAGGTAATCTAATCCTAATAGGAATATATAATACTTTCCCAGATTCCCTAGGATTTGCACAATCACATTCCTATTCTAAATATGACTGCAACACTCCCCCTTGAGTGTGTAAATACTCAACAAACCACCGCATCAGATCTTCAGCATATAAGGTAGAATAGTTGATGAAGTCATCAGCACAACGGGTGATTGCGAGTCTCAAATTTATTTTGAAGTATGCATTTGTAAAAACTCACAAAAACCTTGCTATGGTAAAACCTAAGGAATGGGGAAAACCCATAGACTAAGGAGAAAAGTAAGAAAATATGCATAATGTCTAAAACACTCATCAAACTGGATGAAGATAGTGAACTCAACGGAGTATGATCATCCCAAGATGGGTGCCTCATTAAAACCTAGTTAGGTAGCAAAAACCCAGTGGAAAAAATGCTCCTAATCATAGGAAAAAAGAGTACATTAAGATCATGTGAGTATGCTTTAAGATACTCCCCCTGAGTTAGACATAACTTCTAAATAAGAGAACTACAAGCGATTCAACTTAGATAATTTACGCATACCGATTCCTTGGACAAGCTTCTGAAATGTAGACTTAGGCAATGACTTGGTAAAGAGATCGGCCAGGTTGTCCTGGGAACGGATTTGCTTGATTTAATGTTCTGATGCTACTGTTGTTGATGTGAGTAAAAGAACTTCGGCGTTATGTGCTTGGTGTTGTCTCCCTTGATGTATCCCTTCTTCAATTGCTCGATACATGTTGCGTTGTCTTCAAAGATCGTCGTAGGAAGGTCAACGACTGATGTAAGGCCACTAGTGCTTCGAATATGTTCCACAACTTCTCTCAACCAAAAGCATTCACGCACATGCAGGGCGAGAATCTCAACACGGTTAGACGAAGTCGTAACTAGTGTTTGCTTAGTAAACCTCCAAGATATAGTGGTGTCTCCAACGGTAAAGACAGAACCCGTTTGAGAACGTGGTCTATGTGGGTCAGACAGATATCCAGCATCTACGTAACCAACAAGGCAAGAATCAATCCGAGGACCATAGAGGGCGGCAACACTCGGAGATTTACGGGTATAGAACAAACCCAAATCCGTAACACCTTTGAGGTGACGGAAAATGTCTTTATCATCATTCCAGTGTCTACGTGCGGGCGCATTGTTGTATCTAGTCAATAGATTCATAGCAAAGGAAATGTCGGGTCTAGTGCACTGAGCCAAGTACAATAAAGCCCCAATTGCACTTAGGTAAGGAACTTTGGGTTCCAAAATATCTTCCTCATCCTCCTTTGGACGGAAGGATCTTGTTTAGCATCTAGAGTCCGAACGACCATGGGTGTACTCGAAGGCTTCGCTTTATCCTCATTAAAACGACGCAACACATTTTGGGTGTAGTTTGATTAATGTACCAGGATTTCATTTGAACAATGCTTGATCTTCAAGCCAAGACAGTATTGAGTTTTCCCAAGATCCTTCATCTCAAATTCTGATTTCAGGTGTGCAACAATTTCCTCAAGCTCTGTGGGAGTCCTAATGAGGTTTATGTCATCGACATAAACTACAACGATTGCAAATCCGGAATGTGACTTCTTTATGAACACGCATGGGCATAGTTCGTTGTTCACATAACCCTAACTTGTCAAATATTCACGTAGACGATTATACCACATCCACCCAGATTGTTTCAATCCGTAGAGTGACCTCCTCAACCTAATTGAGAGAGTGTTTCGTGGTATAGAATTATTTGAACTAGTCAATGGAAGTCCTTCTGGAACTTTCATGTAGATTTCCGTATCTAGATCTCCATAGAGATACACGGTTACCACGTCCATAAGCTGCATATTCAGTTTTTCGAAAATTACCAAACTGATTAGGTAGCGGAACGTTGTAACGTCCATTACGGGGGAATACGTCTCCTCGTAATCAATCCTTGGGCGCTGGGAGAAGCCTTGCGCTACGAGGCATGCTTTGTATTGCACTATTTCATTCTTCTCATTATGTTTCCTCAAGAAAAACCACTTGCAACCAAACGACTTCATGCATAGTGGTGTAGGAACAGTAGGTCCAAACACTTTATGTTTCGCGAGGGAATCGAGTTCAACTTGGATTGCTTGTTTCTAGTTTGACCAAGCGGTTCTACATCGGCACTCATTGACGGAACGTGGTTCAATGTCATCTCTAAGCATGATGTCAGTAGCTATTGAGTACGAGAATGCATCGTCGACGATCATCTCATTCCTATTTCAAACCTCATCCAATACTGTGTAATGGACCGAAATCTCGCGATTCTTGGGAGGCCGGCATGTTTCGTCTGAAGCATCATCGTAATCTATAATAACCTCATGCGTTGGAACGGATGAGTGAGCGATGGTCAGATTCAAACTAGGGTCAATAGTTGGTGCCATTTTCGTTTTCCTGGGTTATGAATCCTTTGAACCAGGGGGTCTGCCACGCTTCAGGGTCGGAGCACATGATTGGCTAGCCGCCAATGTACCTTGTCGCGTGGAAGGTGCGGCCGCCCCACCTTCGAGGTCGGTCCAGCCTTCCCAGACATGCAATTGACATACGCGGGGTACATTTATCCTTACAGGTGTGTTTGCAGCGGGTATATGTGATCTTCTTACCTTTACTAGATCATTAAAAGCATCTGGCATGCTTTGAGCAATGGTCTGAAGATCTATAATTCGTCGCACCTCAGTTTCAGATTGGGCAGTGCGGGGATCTAAATGAGACATAGTAGGAGCATACCACGACAATTTGCTGTATTGTACGTGAACGTTAGCATGCTTATTTCCTCCTAACGATAGGAAGACTGTCTTATCAAAGTGATAATCTGCAAAAGTGCAGGTAAAGAGGTCTTCTGTCAAAGGTTCTAAGTATCGAACAATTGATGGCGAATCATAACCGACATAGATTCCCATTTTTCTTTGAGGACCAATTTTGGTACGTAGTGGCGACGCTATTAGCACATAAATGAGCACACCTAAACACCCGTAAATGCGAGACGTCAGGCTCGTATCCAGTGACCAACTGTAACGGTGAATGTGGTTGGGTAGCGGTAGGCCTTAGGCGGACCAACATAGATGCGTGCAATATTGCATAACCCCAGACAGATATCGGCAATTTGGTTCTCATAACCAAAGTCCAAGCTATCAATTCAAGGCACTTTATGAAAGCTTCTGCCAGGCCGTTTTGGGTGTGAACATGGGGCACATGATGTTCCACATCAATCCCTACTGACATGCAATAATCGTCAAAAGTCTATAACGTAAACTCTCCAACGTTATCCAGTCGAATCAACTTAATCGTATAATCAGGGTGGTGAGCCCTTAGCTTAATGATTTGAGCTAGGAGTTTAGCAAACGCGGTGTTGCGTGTGGACAACAAGCAAACATGTGACCATCTTGTCGATGCATCAACCAACACCATAAAATATTTAAATGGTCCGCAGGTTGGTTGGATACGTCTACAAATGTCCCCTTGAATCCTCTGAAGAAATTTAGGGGGGTCGTGAATAATCTTTGTATGGGAGGGTTAAATATTTAACTACCCTAAAGAACACGCTTTGCATGGCGGAACTCCAACATAGGGATGTAACTTATGCCCGTGAGAAGATTTGGGGATACGAAGCATCATGTCACATCCAGGATGTCCCAAACGGTCATGCCAAAGCAATAAAATGTCCTGGAACTCAGGCATAGGGCCGACCACACTGTGGGCTTCTATGCCGCGAATGGTTGTGATGTACAACCTAACTGGCAAGCGTTCCAACTTTTCGTGAATATGCTTCTAACCATATTTGTATAAAGTGATACAAAGAAATTCAGAACCATGATCTTCAGTGGTTTCAAGATGATATTTATTATCTCGAATATCTCTAAAACTCAGCAACATTCTTCCGGACGTGGAGAATAGAGTGCCTCCTTAATGGTCAAAATTGTACCATTAGACAATGTGATACGTGCCTTTCTGTATCCTTCAATCAGGTTGGATGGTCCTGAGAGAGTTGTCAGATGAGCTTTCTTGGGTATTAAGTTAGTAAAATAATATCGTTCACGCAAGATGGTGTGCGTGGTTGCACTATCTGCCAGACAACTAACTTCCCCACTAGACATACCTAGACATAAATTGATTGAGTTGGTCACATGGAAAAATATAAGTCCATTCACTCAATTACGCAATTCGAGAGAATAATATCCATTCAAATAACAATCCATAATTCAAAAAAAAAACCAAAACCAAACAAATTATTCCAAATACTTAGAAAAATTGTTCAAAATTAAACCATAAACCTAGCAAATTAGGGGGTAGGCTGGCCACTCCTAGTGGGTTCGACCACTAGGGTAAACACCCTAAAACATGTCTAATTTATTCATCCATAGGCGCTGATGCCTCATGAAAGTCCGATATCTTCATGGATGTAGTTGCATCTTCCGGATGATCCACATGTACAAAGTTAGACTCACGATAGGAATGATACTTGGCAATAGCCTCAGGGAAGCTTGGCATACGCGTGACCAATGATCCTTGGGTCCACAACAATAGCATATGTACAGTTTAGTAGAAGCAGCATAAGCATGAACTTTGCCCTTGTTCTTAAAGTTTGGGACCTTAGGGGCGAGTGGTGGACGCTGCTAGGTCATATTTCTTCCCTTAGGTGCAGCACTATGTTAACCTTAGGCCTGTGGTTG